CTTGATAACTGTTGATGGACTTGAGATCTTCTACCAGTTACAAGTTAACCTCCTCTGAGCATCCTCAACTGCTACAGTTTGTGTCAAAAGCTTTGCTTGTTGGATATAAAGCATTTCCCCATGATTCTCAGCGATCACAGCTTTCTAGGTTTTTGGTGACTAACTTTATTGAAATAAGTATAAAACATACTGAGGCTTTTCAGAAAATCAGATCGCGCGCGAGTTCGTGAAAATTTATTGTACAAATTTATTTCACTCACGGTGACATTACAGTTCCCGTATGAATAAATGAATAAAATGAATAGCTGGAATTAACAGTGGATTTCATATAGTGGCTCTTCTTCCACTGGATTCCAATTGGAAAAGACAAAACTCTCGAACCCGGATCGCATTGATGATTGAGCGCTCTCACCGCTTTGGCACCCGCGCTAYCCAATGAACTGAAAAGTGCTGAGACTGTTTGATATTCGTAGTCGTCCCTGGGAAAAAAGAGGTAGAAGGTGGGTTTGACTAAAACCATTTACTTAAAAGTATTCCCCTCTGAAACGAGATGGATAATGGATCATGAGGGTAGTGTGGCCATATTTATGTTGAAATACCAAGGGGGAGGGGTTAGTGTTCCTATCGTCATGCTACATTTTCAGGAAGATTGGGAATTGTGTCTAAAGCGGCGTTGGATTCCAGGTGATCGAGAGTGCAGAGTAAAGTACTGTTTGCGGGTTGAGAAGCGTGTTTATGTTTCCCACTGAATAAGCAAGAAAACTAGTCTAGTGTAGTGACTAATGCTATGGATAGCGAGGGAGAATCAATCAACCTGATCAAACAAACTGCAAACGAAACTTGACAATCAAGATCCATCTTAAATTGAAGAATTCATTTCTATCTTATTCCCTGACCCCTGTACTTTCATGAACGGAATGACTTTCATAAACGGTTGCAGCTAATTTTACATATCACTTAAAATTATTTTTKTGGAGCGAAAACCCTTTCAAATCATTCACCTTGTTGATTTCGATAATGAGTGAGTTTCTAATGAAAGTAATATATCCTTGACAAGATAAGAGTATTTAAAGTTTTAAAAAAGGCACCAAAACCAGACACCAGGGCCTCCAGTTATAAATACATACAAAACTCTCTATTTTCGATTTCCCATTAACTTCTTTTGGTGGTATTCAGTCAAATTGAATACAATTTTCTGAAAAATAGTTTTCATGAAGTTCTTTCTGAAATAAGAATTGATCTTTTTGGTAAAAAGCCCTCATTTTAATTCTATAGTAATTTCTTTATAAAATATGATTATTATTATAGTTTTTTTCATAGAGTGCTTTTAGTCTCACTGTTGAATAGTTAGATAAATTTATCTAACTTAGATAACTATTTAGTTGACGTCACCTAAAATAGTAAAAGCGCGCCAAATAACGGTCATGCTAATCCGGGGGGTTGTTTTACCAGAGAATGAGTAAATAGACATTCATTTGCATCATTGTTTCTCCCCCTGATCTCAGTAGCTATTTACTCGTAGTTTCAAATTTAGGTGACGTCACCTAAAATAGTAAATAACTTATCTAATTTAGTTGACGTCACCTATTCAACAGTGAGACTAAAAGCACTCTAAGACAATCTATTTTTCTGATTGATTTAGTTTTTGTATATATGCATGTATATAATCTTTGTAAAGCGCTATTGATTTGCTATTGTAAATAGGGCTATATAAGTAATAAATTATTATTTATTTGTAATAACTTATTATTATTTTCTCTGTATCAGAAAAAGCTGAATTATGAAAGTCGTGTAAAGAGGAAATTAAAGAAGTGCATAATAAACAATAAAAATAGTACATTTATACTGTAGACTGTCTGGAAGCATGTTTAATCAAAATTCAGTTACAAATAATTTAAAATATTTTTTATGAGACATTTTTGAATTTTTTTTGTCATAATAATATTGTATTTCACATGTTGAAAAATTCTGAATGTTAATATCTGTTTAATAGCATTTCTATGTTATCACTTCACTTTATCTTAGTATTGTTTCTCTATCGTTATCTATATTCATTTCTAGTCTGTCTAGAACTACTTTATCCATTTTGTTTTTGTCAGGAAACTTTATCTTCCAACAAATCTAATTTAAGAAAAGAAAAAAAAAATTAATTGAAAGAAAATGTTATTATTGCTAATTTTTAGGATTAATAGAGGTGTGGATAATTGTGTTTAAATAAATATTTGACTAATATTAATCAGAGAAGAAATATTTTATTTTACTATTAATCTCACAGAACTGTGGCAACATGTCAAAAATTTGTCTTGCTACCACACCCTAATTCGTCTACTGACACACCTACTTTTGTCACTTTCTCGGATCTAGCATACTGCCAGTAAGGTATTCACTGTAATACATGTAACAAAAAGATATAACTAGCTAAAAACTAGTGTGTGCTGCGTCGGTGTTTCTAATGAAACAGTAATGATGAAAAGGTAAATCATACACCGTGAAAAGATGAAAAAACTTACTGACGTTTCGGACGCTAGTCCTTCTTCTGAGTAAAAGACGAAGGACTAGCATCCAAAACATCAGTAAGTTTTTTCATCTTTTCACGGTGTATGATTTACCTTTTCATCATTACTGTTACATGTACCAAAAGTAGGCGTGTCAGTAGATGAATTAGGGTGTGGTAGCGAGACAAATTTTTGACATGTCGCCACAGTTCAGTGAGACCTGTAGTATTTTATTTTATATTTTATTTATTTGTTTACTTTCATTTAGCTTTTATTTATGCATGAATATACACTTGCAGTTGGTCAGCTAATCAGTAAGACATTAGTCTGGTCAGTGAACAATAAGTCAATCCATCAATYTATATATACAGTATACAAGCGGTTGAGTCATTGTCAGTCGTTGCAGTGAACTGTAGTTCTCTCTATACCCATGCAGACTTTAGACAGACAGACAGACAGACAGATAGTCAGTCCATCCATCAATGCAGTCATTCAGCAGTCTTGCAATGAACTGTAGCTAGCTCTCCATCTAGACTCATGCATACTTTAGCTGTGCATGCTACTTATGATGAGGATTATTAGCAAAGCTWTGCATTTATACTCTTTTATAACAATACTGTAATCTATACGGATTATTGTCAAAGAGATAATGAGGAATGCAATATATATGAGGTGCATGCTGTTAGTAATGGCTGCTTAAAATCATTACTTTGACCAAAAAATYGTTCTTTTATTGTTTCACAAGTTTTAAATTTGTGGTGAAAAAGCTACTTGGGAATAATAATTTAATTCTTGTAGGGCGCATTTTCCATGTCGAAATGATCAAATGCGCCATAAAAAAAGAATGACATTCATTAAAATATCAAAAATAAGGCAGATTTAAGTATTTGCATAATTATAAAGTATAAGAATAAATATTCAATCAAATGTCATAATATATRCGATATAAAATGAAATGTAATGTTCAAACATAAATGTGTAAAAACTGGGAACCCTGTGGCATATTCCGCATGCTTCATGTTTTAACAAGAAATGCGCACAAATATCCTTTAGTCAGCAGAACTTGTTATACTCAATCCTTTCAGGCTTAGGGCTTGAAATTAGTTTGCGAAGTAACAAGCATGAAAATGCTTGTGGTTTGGAATTACACTTATCTCAGTGAAAGTGAGGCTCTTGTTTCAAGCAAAGTAGAAAAAATATGATGCAAGTTATCAGACTAATAAAACAAAGCTTATTTTGGTTAAAAAAAGTTTTCTTGAAATTTATTGCGAGCTCAACCTGATCGCTTCACTTGGATTACTACGCTCTGAATTTAGGGTACTGCTGGGCTGTGGACTCACCTGCATTAAGTAAGGGCTATCGTACAGGCAAAACAAAAACATGATACACAAGTGACAAAAAAAAAGTCAACTTTCACAAAAAGAATAGCAATAGACCTGTCCCGAATTCGCTTGACTGGTCACGAAACAATGGTTTCAAGTCGAAGTTGAACTTGATGAATAAAAGAATCAAGTTCAGTCTCAACTTCAAACCATTGTTTCGTGGTCAGTCAAGCAAATTAGGGATAGGTATATTATTTATCTATTCATTCACTCACTCACTCACTCACTCATTCACTCACTCACTCACTCATTCATTCATTTATTTATTAGTTACACCATATATTAAACTGGAAATATAATAACTGAAGAAAAAAAAATACTGTGATATATGACAGGGTGACCGCAACAGTGTTAAGCCAATTACTGCGGGCCCAAAATAATGTCTTAAATGAAACTTAGTGCATAAAGATAATATAATTAGATATATTGACACATTTGAATCAAATAGCTAACAACAGGAGGTAGCAAGAGTGAGGCTTCTGCAAGAGTTACATTTTAAATAAACTGTTTTGAAAGTATGTGGGTCGTAACAGTTGTAACTGTCTAGTGATCGACGTTACGTAGTGCCTTAACCTGGCGCGTTTAAATGTGTTGAGTTTGTCCATGTTCAGATTTAGTTAATCAGCGAGAGCGTTCCATATTCTAGTCGTTAATTGGCAAAAGAAAATCCATAACATCCTGGACTTACCATCAAGCTTGGGTACATCTTCAAAGGAAGTTTCTGTAACTTCTTTCATTTCTTAATATGATATATTGAGATTACTCAGTTTTCTTGATATCATACAACATGAAGAAAAGACAATAGAGGGCTAGTAACACAGCAAGCACGAAGGCCAAATATAGAACTGCAGTCTACAGAAAATAAATGAATGCTACATTACTTGTCAGTTCATAAAATATTATAATCAATAAACTGGTCAATAAATAGATGTGACGAGTACATCTATTACTAGACAGACTGGGTACTAACATGAATAACTAACTAACGATTGTCATTCATGAGCAAATTGTTGATTATTTCAGCATTCACACCATTTAATTTTAGTTCAACTGTCAAAGCATTTGATTATTCTAGTTTGAAGAAAAATAGGTATAATGCAAAGTTTGATTATTTAACTTATTCCACATCAATTAAGAATAGCCAATCAGAATGCAGGAAAGCTGTTATATATTCAGTAATATTCTATGACATCAGGCATTGTGGTGTTTTGAATTTTTTGCCTAAATGCCTCTGAGGTTAATGCTTTGCGTATATTAGTGTGCATGCTTATGACACACCATGGAAAATCCCAGTAAATTTACATGCATTGTCAACTGTTTTTCTTCATAAGTAGTAAACACATTTGCCTTCAGATAATGATGTTGCACATGTGCTAGAAAAATACAAGAGACTCATGGGATATTCCATGGTATCTCACTTACTGCGCTTTTCCGTATTCTGCAAACTCATACATTTCAACCACTTGTTGTAAAATTGTTTTTTACTGCTGACTGATTACTTTTGACTGACAATAACAAAATACCACAATTTTCATGGTGCAGCTTGTAGCTAATGAGTTCACAGAATATTGAAAATTCCAGTAAATAGGTCTTAACCTGTAAAACTTATAAATGTGAGGGGCCATTTATTATTGATGGGGGCATATGGATGAGAAAATAACGGTAATTGAAATGTTAGAGACACTGAAGGGGGGTCTTGAAATATTAGATGAGATACATAAAGGAGTGCCAATTCAATTGATCAATTTATTTCTTTTCACTGACTAATAAATAGTTGTAAATACAAAGTAAATAGGTGTAATTATATTGAAGAAATAGAAAACGCGCGCGCGTGCTGTGTGCTGTCATAAAGCACGCAGGGGTTGGCAGAACACGAGAGAAGTGTTAGGAGAAGCGTGATGCTTAGCGGAGTGCTTCTCGACACTTMTCGAGTGTTCTGCCAATCCCCAAGTGCTTTATGACTGCACACAGCACAGCAAGCAAGTTTTTTATTTGTTTTATAAAATACAAATTACAATGTGCTCTCATAAAGCACGCGCTCCAAACCAATCAGAATGCGACATTCATAACAGTTATTTTATAAACATAATTAAACAGTATGAGTAATAAAAAGGAGTATGATACATGATTGCGGTATCTCCAAAACTTACATGAGCCTTCAACATGTTGGAAATAAACAGCTGTGGGGTTCCTGATTGGGAATTACTAATAGGGACTTGGAGAAAAAATTTTCTTCCTAATTCCCACTCATAACCCTCCCTCCCCCCCCCTCCAATACATAACGGACGGTCCCTAGGTGTCATACTTGCAAAGGATGTGAAGACTTTCTCGCTTGAGCTTTCTCTCTGGACTTCAAAGTATTCCTTTTACTTCTTCCACTAAATTCATGCTTCCCTTAGATAAAATATTCAATAATAAAACTTAAGTCTATATGCAATCATTCAATCCTCAATTAAACTACAAGTTTATCCCAAAACAAAATATATACTCTTAAATAAAGTAGGTTAGGGTAGGTTTTGAAATRAATACGAGTTTGTATGAATAATAAATGTTTTAAATGAAGGCTGAAAGACCATATCATAATATCTAAATGCTATTTTTCAGTATTAACTATTAAAAGAAAAAAAGATACTAAAATTTGATCTTTCATGGCTTTTAACAGTAAAATTTTACGAACTTTCAAAACACAACTTATTGAAGGGTGCGAAAAAACTTGAACAAAGTTTGCCTAAAAATGAAGAAATTTCYTTGTCTTACCTAAGTTCTTTCTGTATTTCTCTATCTCGGACTTTCCCTGGACTTCTTTTCGCGCCATTTACGAGAAAAAAGGAGGAAAAAGTAAGACTTGATGAGGTTTAGCTTTGAAAACTCATCTTGTTTTGGTCTACGTGGCGCCTGGTTACTAAGGTACTAAACAACCACAGGCAACCCATAACGCATTTTAAGGGGCACAGGCARGGCACAGCTGCCAATCTCTTGTTCTGTTGTGTTTAGTGTTTGAATATTAACGGTAATATAAACGACTGTCCTTGATAGCTTGTTGTATCTTTTGATTTTTTTTTTTTTTTTTTGGTGATTTTGAAGCCAGTTTATTGTGTCATTTTACGGAGTTATCAACGAAAGTCGTTTTTATTCTTAAAAGTATTGCCGTTAACATTCAATACCACGACATCACAGGACATGAGATTGGGCTGCCTGTGGTCTTTACCATTTCTTCAAGCACGACAGCCCATGTGGGTGTCTGGCCGTACCAAGACCGAGGACCCCTTTCCGCTCCKCCCCCACTACGTACCACCACCATTAGAGTGACCACAGTAAATCCGTGCACAATTTCATGCAAAATCCATTGTTTTGTATTGTTTGACGAGTTCTATTTTGTACTATTTAGTAATTAGTGTTTCACGGATTTACTGTGGTCACTCTACCACAAGCAAACAAAATCAATTTATTAGTCAAATTCAGAAACAAAAACGGTAGAGGAGCAATATGTTTTACTTCGATCACGCGGGGAGTGGGYGTACGAATCTCCCGAGCAAGGGGCTCATGTTCGATGGCGCTCTGACCCTTACTATCAGTGCTCCTCTCCACGGCCATTAGAAGCTAACTGGGGTAACGCAGAAAAGAGAGGAGTCGAAGCTGGCGTGGAGTCCCTGAGGATTGAACGAWGGACCTCTAGCCCTGAAGGMCGCGCGCTAACCGACTGAGCTACGCCTRCTCCCCTGCTCCTACGACCTACAATATCTCTTAAATGTCATTTTATTTCTAGCTGCATCCCTGATGATAATATAATAATTTATCCTAATTATATCCTTATTACATTTATTTATGTTATTATAAATCATTCTTTATATTCAACTATATAGATCTGCTGATATACAAGACATCTCTTCGCTCATACCYCATACAATGTAAGTGAGTCTTATTTATTATGTATTATTCTTCTACTTTTAGAAGAAAAAAAACGTTTGCAATACTTTGGTGGATTAAAAATGCTAGTTGCCGTGACGTAAGCTATTGCTATTACTATGCGTCAAAGATCAATTCAGGGGTTTCACTCAKCTGATAAAAGTAAATCTCATTATCTGCTCCAAATGGTGGTCAAACACTGATCACCGTATGCTGTTAACCAGAAAGAATCCTATTGAAAACATGTGATTCAGCTGATGAACATTGCCTACTAGGTGAGAAATGATGTCAAGTGTAACCCAGCAATAGTCCAGTTTCCAATTCTCTGTTCTACGGGGTTAGTTGGCATTGATTTCGTATGGAAGTACTTACTTCAAACGTTTTCATGCTTCCAGTGAATGTCCGTGGAATTTTTAAAGTGTGAAATGAGGCTGACCCTGCATAAACGAGTATGTGACCAAGGAACACACTACTGTATTTGGCTAATTCGAAAATAGGCTTTTAGCTAATGRAACGATGCAACTTGGCAAAAACAATTGTGATGATATATATAATAATATTGATAAATTATTGAAGCAAAGTCTAAATTAAACAAACAGATAACTCCTTGTACCCTTTACGTTTTCATATTGTGGAGACGACAGTGCTCTACCATAACCCATGGCCGTGTACACGTCTCTAATAGGGTATAATGTATGGTCGTGTACACGTCTCTAATCGTATAATGCATGGTCGTGTACACGTCTCTAATCGTATAATGCATGGTCAATAGACGTCTCTAATAGTTTAATGTATCATGGTCATTAGACGTCTCTAACAGTATAATGCATGGTCGTGTACACGTCTCTAATCGTATAATGCATGGTCGTGTACACGTCTCTAATCGTATAATGCATGGTCAGTAGACGTCTCTTATAGTATAATGCATGGTCAGTAGACGTTTCTAATAGTATAGCCCATGTTCAGTAGACGTCATCTTATAGTATAATGCATGGTGAGTAGACGTCTCTAATAGTATAATGTATGGTCAGTACACTTCTTTGATAGTGTATAATGCATGGTCATTAGACGTCTCTAACAGTATAACCCATGTTCAAGCTTGTTCATTAGACGTCATCTTATCAGTACACGTCTCTAATAGTATAATGCATGGTCGTGTAGACGTATCTAATAGTATAATGCAGGTTCAGTAGACGTCATCTTATAGTATAATGCATGGTCATTAGACGTCTTTAATATTGTAATGCATGGTCAGTACACGTTTCTAATAGTATAATGCATGGTCGTGTACACGTCCCTAATAGTATAATGCATGTTCAGTACACGTTTCTAATAGTATAATGCATGGTCGTGTACACATCCCTAATAGTATAATGCATGTTCAGTACACGTTTCTAATAGTATAATGCCTACACGTCTCTAATCGTATGATGCATGGTCATTAGACGTCTTTAATATTGTAATGCATGGTCAATACACGTTTCTAATAGTATAATGATATGCATGGTCAGTGGACGTCGCTTATAGTATAATGCATGGTCAGTACACGCCTCTGATAGTACAATGCATGGTCAGTACACGTCTCTAATAGTATAATGCATGTTCAGTACATGCACTTCTTTAAATAGTTAGAAATCAAGCTTTTCAAATCTTTTTCGCATGGTATGTTGTCAGAATTTAAATTTCTTCCAGTAAGGTTCCTTACCGGGATCGATCTCCAAGAGTCAAAATAGGATAAGTGATAGTAAATTGTTCTTAAATAATTGTTTTGCCCAAAAATATATATACGTAAGAAAATCATTACAGTGAATATGCCATTAGCTCGATGGCGAGGAACAGATTGACTGTTGTACGGCATTTAGGCAATTCTATGCAAATGTCAGTAAACTTCTGATCCCAAGGAAATTGAGTGTCATGAGCCGACAAAGCACCCCCGCGGAGTCATCTCATCATCCACAAYCTTTTCGATTGCCCATAATAAATTAATGGATATCTCTAGATCTCTGGTCACTACTAACAACGGCTCTAAGCAGGTAAGCAAGAGTTCTTATAATTCGCAGCCGCCGCTACGTGACGTAATGGAAGAAAGGTACCTGGTTTTCCCCTTGACGATAAAATTCCTTAAAGTAACGTTTAAGAAATGCCAAAACCCGTGGGTCTAGGATTAATGGATATTGCCTCCGGATCTACAACGGCTCTAAGCAGGTAGGTGAGAGTTCMTCTAGTTCGTGGCCGCTCCTTGATGTAATGGAAGATAGCCATCGGGTCTTCCCCTTGAAGATACATTCCTTAAAGTCGCGTTTGAGSAAAGCAAAAATCAATGGGTCTAGGATAGTGTTGATGAGAAGAGTAAAGAACGAGGCATATGCGAGGCCATTCGAAAYGAGATGATACAGCTGGAATGCTTGGCAGACATTGATGTACATGAAGGGRAGCCAACAAAGCAAGAACATCCCAAGGATAATGGCGAATACTCGTGCTGCCTTTTCCTCTGTTCCTGCGCGCTCTCCTGTCTTATTCCCATAGCTTGTCCTTCGCCGATTCCTTTGRATAAAATTCCTGACGATCTTAAGGAGGCGGGCGTAAACCCAGATCATGGCGATACATGGGAAAAGGACAAAGAGAATAACTACTGTTATCAGATAGGTTCGGTGATATTTGGTGGTGTTATCGGCATTCCAAGCGAGGGGAAGAAGAGAAATAATCAATGGCAAAACCCACGAGGCACCGATGATGCAAGCTACTTTTCTCTTGTTCATGATTGCACGATACCCAAACGGTTTGGTCAAAGCTACAAACCTTTCATACGTGACAGCACTAAGATTAAAAATGGAAGCGAGCAGCAAAAATGCTATGRTGTAACCACTGGTGTGGACTTTGGTCAAAGAATATTCTTCAACGATGTAGATAGGAACGAACACTCCCGCTACAAGCAAGTCTGATRTCGATAGACTAACAACRAAAGCATTAGTGACGGTCATCAGACGAGTATTAACGGCAACAATACCACAGACCACGATGTTGAGGATGGTYGAGACGAAACCGATTATTGACCAGCATACGAGCAAGGGAAGTGGTGCTGGGACTATAACGGGTAGAGCAAAGGTTGTATTGTTGCTCATGGTCAGCTTGTACTTTTTAAAAAGGTGGTGTTCTTTTYACTTGCTTGTACACCTGTAGCTAAATCACCCGAGAAACTTCCTGATTGTGGAAAAGCTTTCCTTGAAGCCGGAAATCAGTTCGAAAACCGCTTGAACTCAAAGATAATCCTATTATGACGACCAAACTGATGCTARCTTCTCGTTGATGTCCTCACTCTGAAAAGAAAATGGAATAAAAAATTTAATAAGTACTTCACGCGTTAAGCAAACAAGGAACTGAGGGAAAAAAGATTTAAATAAACAATCATGGGCTTGAAAACTCTTCGGAAAAATAAAAAAAACTAAGAGTAACCTTAAGTAATTGTTTGCGGACCGCAATGTTTTAGYTTGTATAGATTAGAACCTAGATGAAGGAGAATGGCGAGGAAGGAAGGAAGAAAAATAGGAACTACTTGGGATTTTTAGAAGCAGACCTCTTGATACAAACAGTTGGTAATTAATTATTATACGAAGTCTTCCTTTGACTGCAAATAGAAATCCACAGATGATTTCCACTATTTGCTCAGAGCTAACATTATCTGCAAAAGGACGATAGYAATCTCATTTGCAGTAAAAAGCACAAAATGAGTTCTTACATTTGAAGGGCCCTGTTAAAACAGCCGAAACAAAATGAATGTGAAGTTCGATTGARCAGTAGAGAAGTTGATTCCGCTTTAACTTACGTCTCGAAAGGTATTGTCTTGGCTTAGCTTATAAGTAGTTCGTCCAGAAACTAGTCGTCAGTGATCGAGGAAAAACATCAGTTCGACCAATTTCAAGGTAAACGTGGCAACTTTACCCCCAAACAATGTTTAAAGGAAACCTAAAAAAAGTACAGCACTTTAGACCCGTTATATTCATCTCGTAGACAAGTAAGTCAATGTTTTATAATTAAGAGGATTCGTGCAAAGTTGTTGACAAATCGAATAATTAATTTAATAAAGAACCACAAAGTAGATATCAAGATATCTCGGAGAGTTGATATCGAAAAGAAAAAAGAAAAAAAGAAAAGAAAAGAAAAGAAAAAAAGAAAAAAAGAGAAAAAAATGTGATTTGACTAAAAAGGCTTGCGTAGGAGATTACCTCCAGTGGACATAATGAGGCCCTATCTGGACATTTGGAGTCCAAATCTTCCCTAAGACCKATTACAATATGAATCTGCCACCTTAAAGCGTAAGGTCAATAAACAATCCCGAAAAAAAATGAACCAATGACGCAATACATCAATGAACCAATCAGATTCACGGACTATTTGCTCAATTTAGCCAAAAAGAAACAGTCCTTGTGATGGTATTGATGACACTGAAACAGTTTTATAATCAAGGGTGACTGATTTTGGATTGTATTGCATAGTTTTCCTTTTTAATATAATTTCAGATAAGATGAGTCTCTCGATAACAACTAATGACTTCACTTTTCGATTAAAAATTTGACGTTCATTTAAGTTATTTTGGAATGAACGCGCCGAAAATGATAACATACGAGCTCTCTCTCTCTCTCTCTTTACAATCTATTATTCATAGCAAAAGTTACGACTGGAAAATAATAAGACCAATTTTTTATGTGAGAAAAAAAATTGTTATTTTAATTTTTTTTTTAAATCACTTTTATTTAAGTGTCTAGTCGTTCTAGCGCTTTCGCACTAATTGGGGACACTTTTCACCCACACGCACTAGCACTACATTTAATATTCTATGCACACAACGCTCAACTCACATGTTGATTTTTATGGAGGGAGGAAACCGGAGAACCTGGAGAAAACCCTCGTAGCATAGGAGAGAACAACACATCAAACAAACTCAATTCACATGTGGCGACCGCAGGGCTCGAACCAGCGACCCGACCCGTTGGACTCACAGCGGTAATAATTTTTAGATTTGCGGTTAGTTTGTCGGTCATGTATGATGATGAAACAACTGCATTTATTTATTTTCTCAATTTATGGAACCTATTTCATTTTGCTATTGTTTGGCGGAATAAGTTTATATCTTTCCTAATGCGACTAAGAAAAACAATTTAAAAGATTGATAATTTATACTTCGGAATCAGATCTTCTTTAGATATTTCCTACGGTTTATTGTCGCGTATTGTTTTAACTCTACAGGATCGTTATCTCAAAGGGTCTGCAATTTGTCWTAGCGAAAAGAAAGTTTTCCAATTAACAAAAAAAGACAAGGCAAAAAAACAAAGAGTGTTCTAACGTAAACAAAGCGATTGAATAACTCTTTCTAGTCCTTCTTCTTTATTTTTAGTGTACAGAGACTGACACTCCATGATCGAAGAGAACTGATGTGTTTGATCCTGGGATAATTAGTGTTTCCTCTAAAACACTTCGATTTTTGTAATATTAAAGAACTACAGAGATCCAACAGTCGGAAACATAAAACATGCTGTCGAACTCCGCTAGAAAATAAATATAATCCAACCACTTTATTGGATCATTGAAATTACCTTACTTTGGATTGACTTTTCTAGAAGGTAATATTCAAGTGTCATGGAAAAATATGAACTAAACCTGTCGTAACTTCTTGATATTATCCGCACAATAATTCGASGAAGATTTTTGGCTAAATAATTACCTCAACTAGATTTTTTGATAATTAAACCATTAAAACACTGTATTAAGTATTTATGAGAGAAATTTCAAGCATTTGGGATTGAGATTTCTGTATCTTTTTACGATAAAACTCTTAATTTTAAAGAGCATTTGCTGGACAATTTATTAGACGAAAATCTTTCGTTGTTTGTCGATCAATATAACAAAGATAGTCGTCATCCAACTATCGAGATATTTCAAATTGTTCATTGAGTTAAATTAGAAATCTCCAATTCCTGTATGCAATTGGTAAAGCAATAGAAAAGGTATAATGAGTAGGAAAAAAGTGATTTTGTATTACTGAATTCAAATTATGACAAGCAAAATCAAACTACTTAACTTCTTATATTGCTTTATATTTCTCTTTCTAGATTTTGTGCATTCTTACTAAAACAGCTTTTACACTAACTTATATCTTTTTCTATTTCAAAATTCGAAAAATAAAGGGAAAAATATTTTTTCAGCAGTTAACGTTTCTCATATATTGTCGTCCTTCTAGAAAACACCTAGAAGCCAGTATCTAATAAGACTATGACTCTATCTCTTTCTATAATCAACTTGGATTTACAACAGCCGTTATTCCAGGGATAAATCGTATAAATCAAAAATACAACAGACCTAAGACAATCAAAGATACACAAAAAGGCTAATAAATATAAATGTTGAGCAACCTACTTGATATGTCTTTAGAACATCACGCGAAGAGCAGCAACGGATCGATTATTCGGTTCTTGTTCGGGTCACGAAGGGCACGTGTGCTAGACGGAGTTGTAGCGTTATATGGAAACTTCAATTTTTTTACTGTGCGTTGTATTTATTTTATAGGAACCTGGGAACTACTCGTCATTAACTGAATTCTGAAGAATGGATACTAGTGTACATCAACTATTTATGCAGTCAACAAAAAAGTCTTCGGAACCAAAGGAAATAGTATCGCCATTCCAACGCTTATTACTTCGGTGCTCTAAGTCCTTGCAGTTATTTGTTGGGCCTTGGAATGACCTACCCTTTTTATCGCTTTGTTTAAATAGCTATTGAGTTTCAGCGCAAAATGAGCTCACGCTAGCAGAGCTGTTCTATATTGGATTGTTTGCATTGTTTGTACTTAGATAAAGGATTTGAGCGACGCCTATTTTYCCCTCGCCTTTCCACACACTACGGTGGCCCCACCGTTCGAAGACACATTAAATCTGACCCCACCTTCATTTCTCTGAATACCCTTAATTTATATTGTTATTAATAGKTCATATCGAAACTAAGGAAATGATTCAGTGTTTATCAGTCATAACGTAATGTTTTATTTGACTCAAGGCTTGTACGCGATAGGATACGCAATTTAACCCCCTTCATATTACGAGTTTTTAAAATCTGGTAACTATAACTTCTTTCCCATTAAAACGACCCACGCCACCTCGAAGAACACTTAGGAATAAATGAACGTAGAACTTTAGAATATCATATGAGCAAAACTCCCTAAGATATTTGAGATCAAAGTTGGAGAGTTTTGCTATGATTTCTGAGTTCTGGCCTTTGTGGCATAGTTTTGATGTCTATTATTATTCTTAAAGAATTGTCTGTATCTTTTTAAAAAGCTCATGTTTTTATTCTAACAAACATACTCTTTTGTATGAAAAAGGCAATTGCTATCAATGCTTGGATGTTAGATCTTTATTCTAATGTGCTGCTGACATTGTGAAAATCAGTTCAAAAATAACACATATTACTCGCAAGATTGCTTTTCCCCCTCAAACTATTCTTGTTTAAAAGAGKTTCTCAGTGTGTAATTGAGAGGACGTTTTTTCAACATCTCCTTGACTGAGTGAGAGATAAGCAAACTATTTGATATCCCGCCTCAGGCAGATAAGGTAGTATTAATATTATTTTATTATTTTAATAATTATTAT